GTCACTTTTGGTCCTTTTCTGTCTCTTTGTAGTCTTTTTAATGTCTCTTTGTGGTCATTTTGACATTGTGTTGCATCTCTTTTTGATCATTTTGTGTCTGTCTGTGTTTTTCTTTTTTTTTTTTTACATCCGCAAGTGCTGCAGACCATAAATGGTTTCAAAATCTATCTTAATCTAAATCAAAATCAGGTAAGCCAAATGTGTGGTATTTATATTGTGCTTTTCAGGGCCTGTGTCCACATGGGTTTTTTCATCTGGATGCAAGCATCTTTTTCAATTGTTCCCAATGAGGAGAAAGCATATGCGGCCACCTAGAGAAAAGCACCATGCCCAGCAGCCTTTCTAAGGGTGTTCTGGATTTTTTGTGCTGCTGCTCCAAACACTTCTACATTGAAAATCTCTGAACTGTTCAGAAAGGTTCTAGTGACGTCACTTCTGACTACTGTCACAAAAAAAGACAGAGAAGTCCATTTGTGGGAGCGGATTGGCCGGACACAAAGTGTTGAGGGTTTTGCTTTTATCACTTTACTCATATAAGCTTGTTGTTAATTCAGTATTCAGCCCTCTGTTGACGTAGTGTTACCTTGGTGACCAGCTAATATTAGTGTCAAGATATTGCTTAAAACCAACAAACACGCATTCAAGCTATTCAAAAAGGTGCTGGGGGCAATTTATTTATGAAATGGAAGAAGCGCTTGTACAATTTCAGGTGCTTGTAGGTGTACTCTTCTTGAATATTTGTAGTTTATTTACTCTAAACCAAATAAGCCTACTGTATTGCAGTGCTTGTAGTGTTTTGTTTTTATACAATTGTTTTATTCAGTTGCAATTGCATATTCAGTTTATCTAAGCGCTATTTTTTTTCTTTAACTTTAAGATTTTACTTAAAAAACACAAAATAAACTTATAAAATACAATGTTTACTTCACAAATGTGACAATTGCCTTTTAAAACGCAGTTTCTCGTTACAGTAACTTACATGTTCTAAGTGGAACTCCTCATACGAGAGCGCGCGCACACACACACAGACACACACACACACACACACACACACACGCACACAGCATTTTAACACCTCCTCCTTGACTCCATGGCCGTGCAGCCTGCAGAGCTGTTACCTAGTTACAAGCAAGAGACGGAGCGACTGTTATAATGTTGCGGTGACTCTCGGTGCATCAGTCGGTCCGAGAACAGACGGAGAGGAGAAAACTCACCGACAAAGCCACCGGAGAACCGGAGCGGACAGTTTGACGGCTGAGGATGAAGATAAAACACATCCTGACAGGGAATAAACCAGCTGCAGCTGCTCGCCTCCCGTTGTTTCATCAGTAAATTCTAAATCAAAGGAGGAGACCGAGCTGTGGGAAGATCACATATTGAAAAGTCTCCGCAACAAGGTAAGTTCAAAGAGTGGGCTACATTTAGTAATATTATTGGATGTTTCCTCCGCGGATGACTGTGAGACAGCAGTGGGTGTCTGTTGTAGACTGGTGTCACAGTGAAGCTCCGTGTCTCCCTCCTCACTTCAGCATCGACAGTGTGAAGATGCTTTTTAGTAACACTGAAACCAAGAATAGAAACATGAAATCCTTTAAATGCTCTTAATCACTCCCAGAAGCGCGTTTAGAAACTTTGCCCTTTCAAGACACATAAAAAGAGTAACTCAAATTTAAAGCTCAGATTCTTGGCAAGAACAAACTGTACATTAATTATCCAATATTATATATTCAGCATAATAAACTTATGACATATAAACAACTTTAAATATTCTATTAAGTCCAAGTAGCCAGCCATGGACAGATATGGAGACAATGGCCCCTGCACAGAGATATGTAGAAGCCTCTCAACCTTCACACATGGAGCAAGAAATCCAGAGTAAAAGAGACACAAAAAGACTACAAACGAGGCCCTCTTTTATTTGTATTTATTTATTTATTTTTGTTGTTTTGCATCTCTGTGGTCATTTTGAGTCTCTTGTGTCTCTTTGTGTATCT